TATACCTTTATCTAAATCATGTCTGTTTGTTATACTGTACAGATGATAATGCCTTTATATTGTTTTATTAAGTATTTATTTATGTACTCATGAGCAAGTTTATAATTAGAGTCATGTTGATGTCGCTGTATATGCTGCTCGTCGCATCTCGTGGGGACTGTAGCTCTTGTGTCTTAGCATACCTATACTGAGAAGGGGTTCCTCTAAGTCACATTTCTTCTATTTATTGGTTTTACTTGGGCATGCATTTTACGAGATTTGCCTAAATTGATTGTAGATGTACCTATCTTGTAATTAATTTGATTTATCATGTTCTCCACTTCCATTTATGATGGATTTTTTTCCTGGCCTCTTTCATGTGTGCGTAGAATATTGTATTTGTTCTTGTGTTTTCTTACGCACAAAACTATAAGTTTTATTCAATTCCCTTCCCGATTATGTCTCACGTCCCAACACATAAAAGAACTGTCCTAGTATTACACAATGTAGGACCCCTGGTAGGACCTATTCGTGCCACCCAGGTCCTAGCCGACGGAGATTCAAAAGTGCCGCAAAACGTCCGTTGTTTCGACTTGAAGGTTACATGACTTTGCTCATAGTTTTTCCCACCAAAGTTGCCAACTGTAAGTACAGGGTAAGTCAAGATTGCCTTGCCGGCTTGGGAAACCCCTTAAAGGATCATTATAGGCTTCTTTGAATTTTTTTAACTTGCGGTTGCGTCGACAATCTGCAGATTCCTAGTCTTATATTCCCTCCTCTGTTCCATCAACGTTTGCGGTTACCACAAAAACTCCCATAAATCCCGGCTTCTTCAATAATTGCAGTTTCATCCTTTCGGCTGCTTCAGCATCTACTTATCAATACTATAAGTTCAATCTGTGACATTACTCACTCATCCTGGAAGGACATCATTCGAACATTGAGTATGTAACGACCGCAACTAACTATTAATTAAGAATTTTTGTATGTTTCGAATTACTTTTTTTTTTCTTCTCCTAATTTACTTAAACCACCGTACATGTTTATCTTATATTTTTGTATTTTGTGTGTAGGTAATTAACTTCATATTGTGATTTGTCCTTTAATTGGATATTCTGTTGGGCAATAAAGCATTATTATTATTATTGTCGGTGTTTCTTGTGAGAACTCAGGTCTAGCCTGGTTAACTAATCGCACGGATTAAAATCAAGTAACGATTAGTGTCTGTGTCTAGTGAAGTTATGTAGGGTTCTAAAGAAAAATAAAAAATAAAATAAATATTCACACACTCACATTGGAAATCTAGAGATAGTATGTAATTCATACTTACCAACATAGCCATTAATGGCCCCAATAGTCAACGCTATCAGGAAAGAAGAAAACAAAACAAAAATATCATTATAATAATTCCTGTAATTTTATTAAATAGACTTTATTGTGTAAGTGTTTCTTTGGCTTTGCGTTTGGGTTGAATACGAGTGGGTTGTGATAACGTGGTGTGTTTATGTGAAGAAGGAGTTTTGTGTTTTTTAATTGTATTTATGGTGTTTCTTTGTTCCTGAGGTCGTATTTGTGATGTTGTTTGGGTTTTTGGTGGAGATATTGCAGTATTTTGTGAGCCTGTGGTGCTGTTAAGGTTTTTGCGCTTCGGTTGTATACGAGTGGGTTGTGACAATGTGGTGTGTTTCTGTGAAGAAAGAGTTTGTGTTTTTTAAGTGTGCTAGGGCGTGTAACTTTATTGGGTGGACCTGTCTTTGTAGTGCAAGTTGCGTTACTTGTATTTGTGGTGTTTCTTTGTTCTTGAGGTTGTATTTGTGTGGTTGCTTGGGTTTTTGGTGGAGATATTGCAGTATTTTGTGAGCTAGTAGTGCTGTCAAGGTTTTTGCGTTTGGGTTGTATACGAGTGGGTTGTTTCTGAGAAGAAGGAGTATTGCGTTTTTTAACTGTGCTAGGACGTGTAACTTTATTGGGTGGACCTGTCTTTGTAGTGCAAATTGCGTTACTTGTATTTATGGTGTTTCTTTGTTCTAGAGGTTGTGTTTGTGTTGTTGCTCGCATTATTGGTGGAGACATTACGGTATTTTGTGAGCCTCTAGTACTGTTAAGGTTGCTGCGTTTGCGTTGAGTACGAGTGGGTTGTGATAACGAGGTGTGTTTCTGAGAGGAAAGAGTATTGTGTTTTTTAGCTGTGCTAGGCCGTGTAACTTTATTGGGTGAGGGCGTCTTTGTAGTGCATGTTGCGTTACTTGTATTTATTGCGTTTGTTTGTTCAGGAAGTTGTGTTTGTGTGGTTGGTTGAGTTAAGGGTGGAGATATTACAGTATGTTGTGTGTCATGTTGTGAGTCTAAAGTGCTGTTTAGGCTATTATTATTATTATTATTATTATTATTTCTTCGTACCTGTTAAATTTCGGTTGCGGCGACTTCTTAAAATTCTTCGACATTCTTATATTTCTTATCTTCTTTGACACGTATCTTTTTCGGAAATTCTGGCTTGCTCGATTAATTTCTTCACTTTCTTTGTCTTTATAAACATTTTTGACTCTTCTGGCGCTCCATACAATGGAGGTAGAAAATTGCCTGGAAATTCAAATTTCAGGCATTGTTTCAAATCTGAAACCTGCCGTATAGGCTGGTCTTTGAAACTTTCTATACTAAACGTAAAACCTTAGATCTTGAAAGGTGAATCGTCTGAAACTAAACATGAACAGTGCAGGTACTGGAACTAAAATCTTTTGGCCTGAATTTGAAGCCTACAGTTTGAGCTTTAAGCTTCAACTACAAACTGAGCCACGGTGTATTATATACGGAACCTGAGCTTTGCAGCTTGAGTTATGAAGATTATTATTTAAATCGGCCTGGAAAAGTGTCCGAAATCTGAAGGTTCAGTCTTGAAACCCAAACCCCTGGTTTGAGTGCCGGCTACTAAAGGATAATATCGTCCCGTCACCTTCCATGAGAACGGGATGATCCATATTGACTAGAATTCCTTTCCATATTATGCTTGCACTCCTGGCGTAGGCTTTCATAGTAATTTCAATGGGTCTTCGCGAATTTGATGGGATTTCCTAGGACTTTAAGGAAACTACGAGGGGTCATTTTCACGTTTCCGGACTGGGCAGCTTTGAATTTTGATGTAATTCTTCATTATGCAGTTTCTTTAATCACATAATGCCTTGGTAACTTGTGTAGAAATATACAAAGCAATTGAAACATTGTCAATTTTATTATATGTTAGTATGTGTAGTCGCGCGTTGTATTTTACACAGGATGATTAAAATTCGAGGGCCACCATGGGTATATCGGGAACTGTAGGTAGTTTAAATTTGGCAAAATTGCGTATTTTGATGCTTAACAAAATGCAGTTTTGAAACTGAAAAAATTCCGATTACTTTCGGAGAAAATCGAAATTTTGCAAAATCGTTTTTATTTTGGAGTTCTTTAAAAATATATTTCGAAATAAAAGACATATAATTGTAGCCTCTACAAGATGCGTTCTTTAAAAATATATTTCGAAATAAAAGACATATAATTGTAGCCTCTACAAGATGCTACCTTTAAATGTTAAGTTTGACGTTTCGTCTACAGTCAACCACCTTCAACTTTGGTTTTTCTTATGGAAGTGCTTTTTACTTTTTGTGTCATTTGATAGAGAATTTTTTTTTATTTCAAAAATGTAAAAATCATATAATAAGAAATAGCGCTATTAATTCGTAAAAACACAAGAAACTACGTACCTACACTACCCAAGACAAAGTTTTCTAGTCAAAAAACAAGATATTTTAACAATATTAAAAAAATTGTAATGTTTACATTTTTGAAACAAGAAAAAAATTCTCTATCAAATGACACAAAAAGTAAACATTACTTCCATAAGAAAGAACAATCCTGAGACGAATCGTCGGGTTTAAAATTTAAAACTCCAAGTGGCCATTTTTGAAAAAAAATGTTAAATAACTTCACTAAAGAATAAAAACTATTTTGCAAAATTTCGTTTTTTCCGGATACCTCCTAAAGTAGTCGGAATTTTTTCAGTTTCAAAACTGCATTTTGATAAACATCAAAATACGCAACGTTGCCAAATTTAAACTACCTACCTATATCTTACAGTGCCCAAGATCCCCATGGTGGCCCTCGAATTTGAATCAGCCTATAACACCGGGCTCTGAAACCAAAAATTATTCTTGAATAAATGTTGGATGTATACGGGAGTGATTGGTGCCCCGATGACGTGATCACTTCAGATGAACCAAGTGTTTGATTGTGATCCGGAATCGAAACAACAGTGAATTCAGTGGCACGTTAAGGACTCCGGCCCTCCAAAGAAGTTCATAGTCACCCCTTCTGCAGGAAAAATAATTGCAACCAGTTCTTGAGACTCTCAGTGAATTTTTCTGATTGATTATATGAATAAGGGTAGTACGGTAACGGGAGAGCATTATGTAAACCTGATGCATCGCCTTAGAGATGCAAAAAACTGACGCAAGGTGCCTTGTTGCTCCACGACAAGGCACCAGTACACAAGTCCAGAACCTCGAAAGCTGGTATAGCCGATTGTGGCTTCGAAGAAAATGAACATTCGCCTTATGTAGTCTAGAGCCACCCAGTGATTATTTCTTGTTCCCGAAAAACATTAAGGGAGACAAAAGACGTACTTATAGCAGCTGTTGAGGGCCAAATGAATATCTTTATACTAGAAGAGGTGTTACACTGTATTTAAAATCAGGTGAACTACATTGAAAAATGAAATGTTGCTGTTGCTAGTCCAGTCTTGTGTTTTCATGCCTAGCCCGGGAAAATAAAAGACCCCTCGTACGTATCTCTATTCTATTCTTCCATTTCTATACTTTTTTCTTATTTGTTTCATTTATTAGGCTTCTTAGGATTTTCTGTTTCTTTATCTATTGCATATCCTTCGGCTAGGTCTACGGTCTTTTCTACTTTTTCTTCTTTGTGAATTGTATTTACAGCAAACCTTCTAAATGCACTTCAAAAATTAACCCTTTGTCAGAAAAATAAGCTGGCGATATCTACTGGTTTAATAAATAAATCCGTTTTTTGTTCAAAAATACAATTATGTACAAAGATTAATTGGCATTTAAGTAGTTGAGGTACCAGTGTTAAGTAGTTTCTGAAGTACATCAGTTACCTAAGGAAATTGTATAGTACAAAGAGCACCGCAGTACAGAAAATTGACGTTTTCTTGCTTGAACCGGTATTGGTGTAATTACACAGCTCGGTATCACAAACGATACACTCTTTCACCCTGTATCTTCCATCAGTTTGGCACTGAGTCATATTCGTACTCAAAATTGTCGATTTGGCAGCAATTTCGCAACCAGAGAGAACGTTATCCTTATTCTGTTGCTCATCTGAAATTAGAATTCGTATAGGTATCAGTACTTATATTTACTGTAATAATACACAAAATTACTGTATATCAATGGCATTCAAGGTCATCAATTAAAATGAAAAAAATATCAAATGTTACCTCATTAAATATCGTTTACATTTGAAGGTTTCGCAACATGGCGACGATTTTAACCAACAAATAAAAGGAAGGTACTTTTGTTAACGTCGCAACTTCCTCAAATTAAGGTTTAGAATTTTCACACAGTAATAATTATCGCGCGTTAAACTTTTTGTGTCTTTTTTTCTGTTGGGGTACAATGATAATTAGTTTAATGAGCGAAATGGGAAAGAATTAAGCCTTTACGTACCGTATACGAATTTTAGCAGACAAAACTGATTAAAATCGGGGTGCTCCAAGCTGCAGTTGGTCTCCTGTAGGTTTTCGGATCCTTTTTTGCAGCCGTCCATTGTTTGCGAATTGCATTTGTAACATTTCAAAGCGTAACCTGCAACGTAATTAAATTGAACCAAAAATACAAATTCCTACTACACAGAAATTTATAGTTTTATCACTAGAAATTTTCACCACTATAAAATAATAGGCGCCACCGGCTAAAGGGATGTTTTGGTTAGTCTCTCTTTATCGTCGTGTATAATACAAAACTTTACTTTATAGCAGAACTTACGTAAATAGATCGTTATAAAACCTCTAAAAATTCTGAATTTAATTCAGACGTCAAAAGTAGCAAACTTGGGTTCTCCCGTTGTTTCCATGGAAACAATATTGTATTCTGTTCAGACCTTCATTTTATTTCGTGCTCGGCGTCACATTTTAATTAGAATAACAGACATCTTAGAATACACAGTCATTGGTTTCACTTTATCCATCCTTACCCATGACTTAGACACTTAGCCTACTCATTCAAACCTATTTAAATGTCAATTTGGCATCTGCTATAAAATGAAATAAGAGATTTTGAAGAGATGTTGAAGAGATTTTGATGAGATTTTGAAGACAGTTTGAAGAGATTTTTAACAGGTTTTGAAGAAATTTTCAAGAGATTTTCAAGAGAATTTCAAGATATTTTAAAAAGGTAATAAAGAGATGTTAAAGAGATTTTGAAAAGATTTTGATGAGGTTTAGACGAAATTTAGAAGAGATTTTGAAGAGATTTGAAAAGATTTTTAAAAGATTTTGCAGAGATTTTGAAGAGATTTTCAAGAGAATTTCAAGAGATTTTAAAAAGATAATGAAGATGGTTTAAAAAAATTTTGAAAAGATTTTGAAGAGGATTAGAAGAAATTTAGAAGAGATTTTGAAGAGATTTTGAAGAAATTTTGAAGAGATTATGAAGAGATTTTGAAGAAATTTTGAAGAGATGTTGAAGAGATTTTGAAGAAGTTTGAAGAGACTTTGAACAGATTTTGAAGAGATTTTGAAGAGATTTTCAAGAGAATTTCAAGAGTTTTTAAAAAGATAATGAAGAGGGTTTAAAGAGATTTTGAAAAGATTTTGAAGTGGTTTAGAAGATATTTTGAACAGATTTTGAAGAGATTTTCAAGAGATTTTAAAAAGGTAATGAAGAGGGTTTAAAGAAATTTTGAAAAGATTTTGAAGGAGATTAGAAGAGATTTTGAAGAGATTTTGAAGAGATTTTGAAGAGATTTTGAAGAGATTTTGAAGAGATTTTGAAGAGATTTTGAAGAGATTTTGAAGAGATTTTGAAGAGATTTTGAAGAGATTTTGATGAGATTTTGAAGAGATTTTGAAGAGATTTTGAAGAGATTTTGAAGAGATTTTGAAGAGATTTTGAAGAGATTTTGAAGAGATTTTGAAGAGATTTTGAAGGAGATTTTGAAGGAGATTAGAAGAGATTTTGAAGATATTTTGAAGAGATTTTGAAGAGATTTTGAAGAGATTTTGAAGAGATTTTGAAGAGATTTTGAAGAGATTTTGAAGAGATTTTGAAGAGATTTTGAAGAGATTTTGAAAAGATTTTGAAGAGATTTTGAAGAGATTTTGAAGAGATTTTGAAGAGATTTTGAAGAGATTTTGAAGAGATTTTGAAGAGATTTTGAAGAGATTTTGAAGAGATTTTGAAGAGATTTTGAAGAGATTTTGAAGAGATTTTGAAGAGATTTTGAAGAGATTTTGAAGAGATTTTGAAGAGATTTTGAAGGAGATTTTGAAGGAGATTAGAAGAGATTTTGAAGATATTTTGAAGAGATTTTGAAGAGATTTTGAAGAGATTTTGAAGAGATTTTGAAGAGATTTTGAAGAGATTTAAAACTTTGCTATTCGGAAAGGTTCGAATTCAAGGCATTTTGTGCTGCTGCCATCGTGAGGGAAAAAAGTAAATGTGGATTGAGTTGCATCGAGTTATAAACGTGAGGGGGGGGGGGGGGGGAGTCAAGAGAGGTTTCCTTACAATAGTGTCCACCTCAAAGCCTCAATAGTTTTACTTGGCATGCGTATGCAAAATCTGAGACCAATTGGTTGTCACATGTAAAAGTTATACCCGTATTACTTTCAAAGACGGCATCACAGAAAATAATACGTGGAGAGCCCCACCGCCTCCTTAAGACAACAAAGTTTGATGGCCGTCTGGGACACTATCAAGCTAGTATAGGCTATCTGCTCTAACAAAGTAGCTTAAAACCACAGAAATGAGTCCTTTTTTCTTTAATTCTTAAAAAAATGCGTTATAGAGGTTTTAACATGATCTTAAACACAGTCTTATTACATTAGGGTCCTAAAAATATCTAAAAATATTATTAAGACGTTTCTAGAGTGATTCCTAAAAGGCCCCTTCTACCAATATTGTAGCGAATATTCTAGAAATCTCGATAGACATTGAGGCGCCATGAAAGAACAACTACAAAACTGGAAACCTGCAAAGTACTCTACAAACTTCCAACCCAAGTTAACACATAAAATAAAGAGGACTCTAGAGGTTTTCCAGGTTAATCTCAGAAATTTTAGATAGATACTCAACGTATTTTAGAGCTTGTTAAACCTAAACGATTCCAGCAGTGCCTTTTGTCTTGATAGTTAAATTTCCCAAAAAAACACCAGGAACCTGAAATGTTCCAAAGGTTTTTCGAAACTTCGAGGGTTTAATAAGCTAAAAGAACCCGTCGACCCTATAGTCTTCGGGCGTTAATAAAAACTAACAGTGAAAGTTCCAGGAACCCTGAATTTGTAAAGTTTGTATGGACAAAGCGCCAAATGTTTCAGAAGATACCTACAGCTTTTGGCAACTTAAATACCAGCTAATTTGTGGTACTACAGAGGTCTTAAAAATCCAAATGACTGGGTAAGTATTGAAGTATTTAAAGAGGGAACCTTCAGAACGGTTACCGGATGTTGTAGACATGGCGGAATCCTAGCCTTCAGATAGCTGTAAGTATCCCTTGTACCTTTGTAAGCTTCAAAAATCCAATGCAACGAAAATCCTTATGACAATTTAGTGACGTTTTCATAGATTTTTGAAGATTGCACCAGCTACATGTTTTGAATAACCCTTTCTCTAGAGGCTGGCCCTAGGGTTGGCCAGGGGTGGAACTGCCTAATCTTATCCATCCATTCTTCTTATTAACCTTGGTGGGGGTAGTGCCATTCGATGATAGGTTTGTAAGTTGCTGGGCCAGTTTGTTTCGGTAGGGCCTTCCACCTTTCTGTTCAGCGCCCAACATTCGGTTTCAGTTTTGAATGGAATTAATGTTCTTTGACTTACAAATGACATTCAGAGGTATCCAAGGTCACACTCTTTGGTTCATTTATATGCTTTAACTTGCTCGCTACATTTTGTATACAAATAGAAATTGGTAATTTTCTAAGTGTTAAAGAAGCAACATATTCATTTCTGTACAGTC